AGTAAAGACTTGTGTCGTTAAAATTTCCTCGGAACGAAGTTACGAAAAAATCAATTAACAAACGGAGACGTAACACATGTAACAAAGTTATGGAAACAGTATAATAATAACTAACGTATTTAATGAACGTGAGAAGGTTCATCTTAAATGGGGTTCCCTTTGAATTATCCCTAAACTAATAAATCCCTTTATAAACCAACGACAGCATCTTCCCAGTCAGTCACACCCAAAACGTTAATATTGTCAGCAAACTTGACCAATTGATTGACCATTACATTATCAATATCGTTAATATCGTATATCAAAAACAATAAGAGTTCCAACATAGTATTGAGGTACCTCACTTGCAACGCAAGTCAGATTTGACTGAACTCCATTTATCAGAACCCTTTGTTTCCTCTCCTTCAACCAACTCCTAATCAATTGAGTCAACTTATTTCCAACTCCCACAGAGATAATGTTCTTTACTAGTCTTTTGCATCACATTTTGTTGAAAGCCTTACAAAAATATTTTACCCTCTTCAACATAATCAGCGAGACCTTTGAAGTAGGCTAAAAAATTCAAGAGACACAATTTTCCTGTGTCCAACCATGTTGGCTAGCCAACATTTTTTAATAGGATGCTTTGCACAGCATTATCTATCGATTTCTCCAAAATGTTTACCATCACAGTAAACTAATTAGCATATAATTATCTATAGAATGCTTGTCATCTCTATTAAAATAGGTGTAGCACTAGCCAGTTTTCTGTGTTATGGAACCTACCCAATATTCAGAGATCCAGAAAGGTTTTGGTAAGGGATATATTTATGCAATCTCTTGGAAAAAATATTACTTATGACAGAATCCTTATCGCCTAAATATTTTGTTAAATCTACCTTTTTGATGTATGACTTTGAAGATAATGTAAATTTAACTATGCTCTCACTGTAGATTTTTGCTTTAGCTCGTGGCATGAGCTTTATTTTGTTTTGCGATATAATTTTGGATTTTACTTAAATATTTTAGTTTGTAATTTAATTTACAGAAGGGGAGCATACACTGGACTGATGAAATAGAGCTCAGAAAGGTTTCACTTCGCCTCTCTCTCTCATTAGAGTCTGGGGTAGTAACCATGTTTATGGGTAAATAAAGATTGTTGTGCTTTTTCTTGACTCTTTCTTCACGACAAATTCAGTCATAGTTCGGAGAAATATATAAAAACACTCTGTAACTTGGTGTCCTTTGAACCTTTAGTTAGCAGGCCCTAAATGACTACACTGTGGGAAACTCATGTGCAGGGGAATATTTAACCTACCGTATTTTTCGGAATATAAGACGCACCCTTATTTTGAAGACAAAGTTTGGGGAAAAAAGAGCTACA